TAAGTGGGAGCCTTACGGCGCAAGTGAAATACCACTACTTTTAACGTTATTTTACTTATTTCGTGAGGTGGAGCCGGGGCTCTGCCCCTGCTTCGTGATCCAAGGTGCAGGCCCTCGTGGCCTGTCCGATCCAAGCCAAAGACATTATCAGGTGGGGAGTTTGGCTGGGGCGGCACATCTGTTAGAAGATAACGCAAGTACCCTAAGATGAGCTCAACGAGAACAGAAATCTCGTGTGGAGCAAAAGGGCAAAAGCTCATTTGATTTTGATTTCCTGTACGAATACAAACTGTGAGAGCATGGCCTATCCACCCTTCAGCGTTTCAGGACTTGAAGCTAGAGGTGTCAGAAAAGTTACCACAGGGATAACTGGCTTGTGGCAGCCAAGCGTTCATAGYGACGTTGCTTTTTGATCCTTCAATGTCGGCTCCTCCTACCATTGTGAAGCAGAATTCACCAAGTGTTGGATTGTTCACCCACCAACAGGGAAMGTGAGCTGGGTTTAGACCGTCGTGAGACAGGTTAGTCTTACCCTACTGATGCACCGCCGTCGCAATAGTCATCCAACCCAGTACGAGAGGAACCGTTGGTTCGCACAATTGGCAATTGTGCTTGGCTGAAAAGCCAGCGGTGCAAAGCTACCGTGCGTGGGATTATGACTGAACGCCTCTAAGTCAGAATCTGTGCTTGCAGCGACGGCGTATGCCTCCTCGGATGACACAAGGCTGTCGATAGGGCCAGCCGGCCTGGCCCCGAAAGCATAAGTTCGGAGTTGTCCCTCCTGCAGCGGAGCACCGACGCCCTGGGGGTCTCTTCATCGCATTTTCTTTCGCTCGGGGAGTCAAACCCTTTGCAGACGACTTAGACAGGGAACGGGGTGTTGTAAGCAGTAGAGTGGCCTTGTCGTCACGATCTGTTGAGATTCGGCCCTTTGTTCCAAAGGTTTCCCCCACCTTCTGGCTCCCCACCCCTCCTCAAATGTTTGAACGACGGTCATCCGCGTTTGAAGAGAGTCGTCGCCCTTGTATACGGGCCGATGAACTGCTTTCTTCTTATTTTTTATTTTTTATTTTTCCTTTATTTTTTTTTCAGTCTTGCTGCTTCCGTCTGAAGCCCCTTTTGCCCGATGTGGTACTCGACTTTCAGCTCAAAGGAGAACTGTACCCGAGCCCATGTTGGGGTGGGTGCCACGTTGTAAGCTTCTGGCCACTGCGGCGCGCCATCTGTCCGAAAGCATGGATATGTGTCCGCGTGTCTTCCTGTACTTGACCCGGTGGGCGTTTGTGCATGCCACATTGTCCGATGTCGCCCCATACTGCCTGCCACTTTTGGCTGCACGGAGACCTGGGACCAAAGGCTGGATCGACGTGAGTGCCACATTGTACACTTACTCACCATGTGGCGGGCGACCTTTGTTTCAGTAAAAAAAAAAAAGAAGCTATTCTTCAAGTATTCAAACAAAATGCAAACGTGTACTATGTACATACATCTATAATATTGTGCATATGACTTCTGTAGATAAAAGTTTGCTCAAGCAAGTATTCAATCAATTTAACGGAAGATTTTTAGTAGAGGGGCAGAGACGGAGGGCGTCTGGCCCCCCCTGAGTACAAGCGTATTCGTGGTGGGGGGTGCATGAAGCATGCCCCTGGTGTTTCGGACCTGGAAAGCCAATTCTTATCCTATCATGCCCTCCCCATGTGTGTGCGGAATATTATGGCTTGGGAACAAAATACCCACTTCTTGCCCTACGTGGCCCTCCCCACGCGACTGCGTAGTCATGATCTTGGTGGGTCCCCGCGCCCCCCAGGTTTGGGAACAGAGAGGCCACTTCCTGCCGTTTGTGCCCCCCCCCCCAAATGATGTTCATGGCGGGGGCAAACGGCCCACTTCCTGCCCTATCCAGCCCTCCCCGCTCGTGCGCGTGATCATGGCGGCGTGCTTCACTGGAGGCGGTACCTGATTGGCTCCATGGTGTTCTCCGGGACATGCACGGAAATGCTTATGGCCGTCGGGTTCTCGGCCTCGCTTCTTCTGCCGGATGCAGTTTTTTTCGGGGCCGACATAAATTGAAATGACGATTTTGTCAAGTCATCCTTGACTTTTCTTTCCCCCCTTCTCTTTCTGGAGTGCGTGTCCGGTCATGTTCGCCAACACATAACCCCAGAATGGACGCAAGATTCTGCCAGACTTCCCGTAAACTTTTCACTCCCAGACCGCGGCGTGATCTGAGTCGCTAGGCACAGAAGCTGCTTAGCCTTTTCCCTGTTTGTTTCGTCCCTTTTTTTTTTTTTTTCAAATTTATTTATTTTTTTTCCCCGGCCCTTCCCCTTATCCCTTTGTGTGTGGAAGGGACGGAGATGGGACGGACTTTTGAGGTGTCGAATTTTGTGGGGGCAGCAGATACCGCGTACTGCCACTCGGGCGTAGGAACGGCCCCGAGAAAAGGGGGTCTCCCAGGATCAAAGGTCCAAAGGCGTCTTATTGAGAGTGGAAAGGGATGAGGTCCCGAGGGGGACATCGCCATTGGGGTCTGTTCAGTCAGCTTGCTGGAAAGGGACATGTGCAGGTCCCTCGGCGGATGGCTCAGTGAGCACCCTCCGGATGTGCCAAACAGTCGGTGGTTGGCGGTTCGGAGTCCCGTTTGCACACTTATCGGGGCCTGCGTGCTTAGCAGCCTCCTTGCAGTCGATGAAGGCAACGCTCCGGGCGTGGGTTTTGGGACCTTGTACTCGAGTTACGAGGGACTCTCTGCACACGCTTTGGGTGGTTTCCAGTTTGCGAGGGACGGGCGAGTCGTGCTTTGGTGGTCGAGCGAACATTTCTGCGGCGCCGTTCGGGTCCATGGTCGTCGTTGGCGGCGGTTGCGGCTGTCGGGGCTTTCCTATGCCGTGGTGCCGGGTTGTGGATCGTTGCGTTCACCCTCACTTATCGTCTTGCGATGATTGGCGCCTGATCGTCGACGGCGGTCCGGTTGGCGCTCGGTTGCAGGGTGTAGAGGCGGAGGTGCCCGTCACCGGCTCTCAGCTTCGGCACCATCATCCCGTAGGTTACGGGGAGAGCTGTTGCGGCTCTGTTGTGGTGTCGTCTTCGTGTCCGCACTCACAACGGCGCCTTCCGTTTGTGTTGAGGGGGTGTCACGACTTGGTGAGGACGCTCTGCACTCTTCGCCATCCGAGGGGCGCCATTGAGCGGTGGCGCAGGTGGCCTCGGCCATGCACGCGCTGCTTACTGTATGCGAGGGCGGAGACTTGTGGGATGCGTGATGCACGCTCCGACGGCGTCGCGAGGCTGGGCCCGTCATCCACCCGACTTTTTGGAATGTGCGCTTGTGCCCGTCGTGTCCCCCATCCTGTGGTCTCGGTATGCTGCACACTGTGACGGATCGCGTTGCGTCGTGGTTCCGCTGCGTTTAGGTTGTGGGCTTCGAAGGCTACTGTCCTCTGTCTGCTAGGTTTCGCCTGCGTCGAGTGCTGTTTGTGGTGCGCGCGGCAACCGGCGGATGTGGACCCAGGGGGGGAGAGGGGTTGTGTTCCTTTTGCGCCCCCGTGCACAGGTGGAGGCTTTCCGTCCGTCCGGGAGTGTTGGGTGCGTGGTGCATTCGTTTCTCTCTTCACCCGCGTTTCTCGATGGAGAGATGAGGCTGTGCACTTCGCTGTCGGTACGTTTTGGGCGGGCGGTGGCATCCGGCTGTGGGCCGAAGATGTCGGTGGTTCCTTCGCGTGCGCCGTTGTTCGGGTAGTGTGGTTAACTTGCGATCTCTGGGTGTGGTGTGGGCGGGTGCTGTTCGCAGCCAATCTCTTGGGAGGGTGCGGCGGGCTGTGTTGGATTGTGCGGTACCTTGCCGTTGGAGATGGCCTACGGAGGGAAGTTCACCTGCAATTCAAACAGCCGGACTTTGCGGCATCTCGGCAGCTCATTGCACGTTCCACGATTGTTCGACGTTCTTTTGGTAGGCTGTCCGGCTTGACGTGCCTACGTGCGCCTCGGCCATCGCTCCTTGCGGCTGCTCGTCACACCCGCTACCTGGTTGATCCTGCCAGTAGTCATATGCTTGTCTCAAAGACTAAGCCATGCACGTCTAAGTGTGAACACTTTGCACTGTGGAAGCAAAGGCTGAGCCATAACCGGAGGATGAAAGGGGAATGGGTGGCCTTGAACTCTGAAGAACCGCCGGAGGCACTCTTTAGAATAAAGGCACAGGACCAAGAGGACTGGTACTGGGTTGAGGGCTGGGAAGTGACACAGACGGATGAAGCGCTGGGCCAACCTCTGAAGAGACAGGAACAAAGGGATGGTGTCATTCATAAAGACAACATGCGGTCGGTGGTAGTGGTGTGAGACAAAAGGCAGAAGAAGGGGGATAGCTTCAGACCCTTCAAAATACGGCAGCGTCCACTGGAGATCCCCTGGGATCCATCTATGTGGGAATGGAAAGCCACCAATTCCCAGAGATGCGCGACACCTCCAAACCAAACCACGACCAAGGTCATATACAGGTCACTGAACACCCCGACAGACATGCCGGACGAGATGAAAGAGAGATGGAGGAAGAAGGGCTGGTTGCAACAGGAGGATGGAGCGAGTTGGACGCAGCAAACGTGGGAGAAGGTTTGTACCCTGCTGACAAGATTGTCGGACCAGAAACAGGCGGGGGGCCTGTGGCTCAACCTACAGCTGGCGGTGCCTACGTACCAATGGATGGCTGCCTATAGCGCAGCAAGAGACACACTCTGCAAAGCCTGTGGACAGAAGGAGGAGACTATACCGTTCCTGTGGCTGGAATGTGACTCGCAGCGACTGTTTTGGGAATGGTGGGGCACAGTGGGCGACAAGGTGCCGTTACATCCCGAGTCACCCAAACACAGGGCGAAAGTGCTAGTGGGCCAGATATTGGCGGGAGGAGTGTCTAGCCTTGCGCAAGCATATGCAGGGGACATGATACGAGGCACATTTTGGATGGCAATGTGGGCTATGTGAGGGAGGCTACTAATGGAGGGAGTGAAAGGCCCGGTGGAAACACTACAACATTGGTTCTTGAGGAACCTCAAAGCGGCTGTCACAGCAGATATGCAAAGAAAACAGAAGGGGGGCTGGCCCTTCCTCAGGGAGGTATGGGGGGGCTACGCGGACGTACTACAAATGGAGACCGAGCCCGGCAGGTGGGAATGGAGCGATGGCCTTTGCATCAACAAGGATGCAGGGGACTCACCGGACCAGGGGGAAGGGGACTCGCCACAGGCGCCACCAGACGAGTCCCAGCAGCCGGAAAATGGGACATACGACGGGCAGCAGGAAGAAGAAACGCCGGTCGAAGAGGAACAGATGGAAAGTGGGACACAAGACAGGCAGCAGGCAGCGGAAAGGCCGGAGAGAGGTGGGATTCAAGAAGACGTGACACAAGATCGCCAGCGGGGGAACGAGAGACCAGAGCGGGAGACGGCTCAAGCAGTGAGCACAGAAGAGGGAAATGAATTCCAGGAATGGACTGATGTTGGGGAGGTGGACAGCCCATGTTAAGAAGAAGATGCAGAGCATAAGTGGGGACTGGGTCGACAGTTGCATTGAGTGTACAGACGGATGTATAGATGGAAGGGCGTAGTAGGTATTGACAGTGTACAAGAGTGGAATGGGGAATGATTGTTTTGGCGCTCAGGGGAGGGCGCTTGTTTTTTTTTGTTTTTTTTTGTTTTTGTTTTTTGCATGGGTCGATAGCAGCATTGAGTGTACATATGGATGTATAGATGGTAGGGCGTAGTAGGTATTGACTGTGTACAAGAGGGGAATGGGGAATGCTTGTTTTGGTGCTCAGGGGAGGGTGCTTGGTTCTTTGTAGGCTCAAGGGCTTGCAGACAGTGGGGCGAGCAGTGTGATGGGATGAATGGGTGACCTGCTGCTGGCGGACTCATAATCAGAATTGGCATGTGCGGCAAGGAATAGGGGTTCTAGGGGCTATAAAAGGTGCTGAAAAAGAGCAGAATGGCTGACCGAAATTGATTGTACCATAGATAGAGGGTAGACCCGGGGGTGTACGCACCCAAAGGCTCTGTAGTGAGAGGGCGGAGCTTGGACTTCGACAGGGGAATTGCTAACAGTTGTATTGTGCTGTGTATAGATGGGTGTATATATGGAAGGGCGTTGTAGCGATTGATAGTGTATACGTAGGGGATGGGAAAAGATCGTTTTGCTGTTTAGGGGAGGGCGCTGGGTTCTTGGCAGTCTCAAGGGTTTGTGCACAGGGAGGTCGAGCTGTGTGATGGGAGGAATGGGCAACCTGTTGCTAGTGGGTTCACACGTAGGATTGAACTGCGTGGCAAGGAGCAAGGGGTCCGGGGGTTAAGAAGGTGTTGTAAAATAGTAGAAGGGACGCAGACTATGGATTGCTCAAAGATAGTGTTAAATGGTGTGGTTGGAGCAAGTAGTATGTGTACTTTACTCTGTAAATAGAGGGAGGTTTCAGGGCATGGTTAGGGAATGCAAGGCTACAGAGGGCTCTGAGGTTCGGGGGGCAAGGCTACAGTCAGTGGAAAACTCTTAGGTTTCAAAAACGGGGATGAAAATTTGCCAATTATGGCTGGTGGGGTAGCGAGTAGAATAATCAGAGGTTAGTGGCGGAACAAGAGAGAGAGGGCAAATAAAACGTGCCGATTAAGGCTGGGGTGGGGGCTGAAGGAGTGGATAATGGGGAGGGGGTCACATGGGAAGGGTGCTTACAGGGGGGAGCGAGGGCAGTAGAGCTAGTCTAGCGGGCTCTGTTTTCCCAGGGGGGGATGGTGCGACTGGGCGCGTTTCGCCTCCCGGCAACATCCCCCTGTAGGGGAGAAGAGTTCCCGAGTTCACAAGCTGCTATTACCTGCCGCATGCGGCCGTTGGCGCTTGCCAGGGCTAATACCCCCCGCAAACCACTTTACTGTCTGTCTGTCTATTTTTCTTAACATTTGCTGTACTTGCTTGCCGGTGATAAGCAACTGGACTGTCGCCCCCCAGAATAGGGGGGGCAGGTGTGTGGGTTGTGTTAAAAAAAAAAAAAAAGAAACTGCGAATAGCTCTTTAAATCAGTTATCATTTATTTGGTGGTCTCCTTACCACTCGGATAACCGTGGTAATTCTAGAGCTAATACGTGCACCATATCCCGACTTCTGGAAGGGATGTATTTATTGGATAAAAGGCCGATCCGGGCTTGCCCGTTGTTGCGG